TTTTGATATCTCATATACATTTTGGGTTCAATTGTTAAAAATTGGTATTATTATGATACGCTCTATGTTCTGAGCATTTAATTGCTTTTGATATCTTGTATTTACTTCTTAGAATTTTAATATGCCCCTACATTGGCTACTTGAAAAGTCTGGGTATTTTACCTAAATTCCTAATAGCTCACAAAATAAACCACTGTTTATTCAAATTTGTTTTTAAAATACATTCTAATCATTAACATTATGACTAACAATAATACATATAAATTTTTAATTATCCTGTCTAAAGAAGGGGCAGACTGGCAACTGCCAATCAAAGAGAGCATGTACACAGGCTCGTTATAATATGTAGGATGGTGTATTCCATTATATAACATTACATTACAGGATGCATAATTTGTATACAGACCAGAATATTTTAATTTTGTATTTTTGTGTATGTGTGTTTAAACTGTCATATATAATAGCGCAAAAAAACCAAGGTCTAGTGCAATTTTTAATATGAAAATAATGTTATTGGTTTCTGCCAACAATTGAACCATTAACTTCCAGTTGATTTAATTGTCTTAAATTATTATATTTGTGTTTTGTACATTCAATAGATTATTTTAATTCTAAGAAAGATAGAGTTATCATGTATGAGGTTTCAGAAGAAGGGGTACTATAAAAAGGCAGTATAAACATCCCATTCTCTCATTTATTTATAGTGCCAACACAAGTAATATTTTTAAACTACAATTTAAACTTTAGTGCAATAATAAAATTATCTTTAAAATTATGTATTTCATGAAAAGGATTGTCATTAACTAGGCCTACCATGAAGAGCCTTTTCATGAGAAATACACCAAAATAGAGTGATAACATTTTTCTTCACTGTTTTATACTTTGACATACGTTATTGCAAAAAGGGCAACATTTTCAGTGTTTCTTGGAATGTGTATTATTGGAGAGTGATAGCAAGCTGTTCAATGTATTCTAACTTCTGGAAATCTGCTATCAAATGTTGCTGAAAACAATCTCTAAAAATGAAGCTATGGATATTTGTGGCTTCCTGAGGGACCATAGCCAATATAGGAGTGAGGTGAGCCCTAAACCATTTTCCTGAAATAGCTGATAAATAGCATTGCAAAAAATTGGGGGGATATTTGAGGGTAAGGGAAGGATTCACTCTTTTCATGAGTCAGTGGTCCCAGGCTGCACAGAATCATAACAAGAATGCTCACATTAGTAATCCAAATTTAGATAGTCATTTCAGCACTGTACAGGTCAGTGCTTTAAATCACAATTTTTTTTATGAAAAGAACTGAGTAAGAACAATATTACTGCTTTTTTTTTCTCTCAATAGAAGGTATAAAACTAGCCAAGAATGGTACATTATCAATCAAGAACATGAAGAGATGGTTCTTGGATCTGAACAGTAAAAGATGGTGCCTGAACTCTATGAAAAATTTTCTTATGCACAGGGAATTCATTTGTCCAAAATCACAGAGGTAGTACGGAGCACAGACAGGATTCAAACCCCATCCTCTGAATCAATCCAGTAGTGTCACCACTAAGTTGTTGTTGTCCAGTCATGTCTGACTCTTCATGACCCCATGGACCACAGCATGCCAACACTGTCCATAAGGTTCTCTTGACAAAGACGTAGAGTGGTTTGCCATTTCCTTCTCCAGTGGATTAAGGCAAACAGAGGTGAAGTGACTTGCCCAGGGTCACATAGATGTCTGAGGCTGGATTTGAACTCAGTCAGGTCTTCCTGACTCCAGGCCCAGTGCTCTATCCACTGAGCAATCTAGCTTCCCTTCTCACCACTGCACCAGACAGCAAAGATCACTTTCAGCTAGAGTAAGGCTCCAGAGGTGCCACCTACACTGGGACTTAGAAGAAAGAAAAGAATTTCAAAAGACAGAAATGAGTGTGGAGTACATTCTAGACATGGAGGATGGTCAGTCATTTGGGTCAGTATATAAGCATTTATTAAGTGCCTACTATGTGCTAAGCACTGGAAATTTAAAGAAAGACAGTCAGTGTCCCTGGAATCTGGGGGAGCTACAAAATCCTGATGGTACATCACTTGCTGTGTGTCAAGTACACCTGTCTTGGTAGCTTCCGAGATGCAGTATCTCTGATGTTGGCTTTGATGCCCACACTATTTCTGATTCCTGCCACCTGACACATGGCTACTCATAAAAGTACCCACTTACTATTTATACTGGTCCTTGAAACTGAGATTCAGTGCTCTGAAAGGACTGCCATGATTTGTTTAAAAGCTGCTTGTGGGTGTCTTTGTTCAAGAGATGTGCATTGTACATTTGATATGTGCTAGGCTCCAGGCAAAGAGAGAGTGGCCTGGATGACCCCTTACACCAGACTGGTTGTAGTGCTAAGAGCTTAGAGTACATCAGACAATGGTCAGTCCAGCACTCTGGCACCTCGACTGCTACACTAATCCAAGTGAAGTGTGGGTCTGGAGTACAGCCAGTCTATCGCCACTGAAGTAATTTCAGTTCCACTGGGCTCGGCTGAACACATACAGAGAAGGGCTGCAAGCAAGCTATACAAGGCGCTGCTGAGTAGTGAGCACTCAGGCAGAAGGGTCACATCGAGGCACAATATCACAAAATGTGACAGGGCTATAGAATGCTGGTTCAAAAAACACAGCGGGCGGGCCAAGTTGTCCCCCAGCCATCTATGATGGGGCTGCTCCCTGGGAGCAGAGGTATCCAAGACCCTGAGCTACAAACTATACATAGAGAGAAGGGAAGGAAGGAAGGAAGGAAGGAAGGAAGGAAGGAAGGAAGGAAGGAAGGAAGGAAGGAAGCAAGCAAGCAAGCAAAAGAAAGATGGACAAATAGATATAGATATAGCTAGATATAGACTGACAGATAGATAGATGGGGGTGAGGGGGCAGCCAGGTGGCTCAGTGGATACAGTGCTGGGCCTGAAGTCAAGAAGATGATCTTCCTGAGTTCAAATCTGGGCTCAGACACTTACTAGCTGTGTGACCTTGGACAAGTCACTTAATCCTGCTGCCTCAACTTCCTCATTTGCAAAATGAGCTGGAAGAGGAAATGGCAAACCACTCCAGGATCTTCGCCAAGAAAACACCAAATGGAGGTGTGAAGAGTCAGATACAACTGAAACAACTAAACAACATATACATATATATGTGTATGTGCATATGTATGTGTGCATATATTTAGAGAGAGAGAGAATTATACGTAACTCTCCCCATATATGTAGATATAGATACACACAGATAGCTATCTTTTTCTCTCTCTCTCTATGAATAAATATATATGTTTATATATAATATATATATATAATATATATATATAATATATATATATATATTTCTCTGTGTGTGTGTCTGTGTGCATATAGTTTTATTAGTTTTATCTCCCCAATTTACATGGGGCAGCTAGATGGTACGATAAATAGAGCACTGGTCCTGGAGACAGGAAGATTTGAGTTCAAATCCAGGTTCAAACATTTACTAGTTATGTGACCCTGGGCAAGTTACTTAACCCATATTTAATTTAATTTCTCATCTGTAAAATAGGGACACACTGGAGAAGGAAATGGCAAAGCCATTCCAGTATCTTTGCCAAAAAAAAATCCTGTGGACAAAGTCCATGCAGTCACATAGAGTCAGACACGATTGAAAAATAACAACCCCTAATCATAAGATAAGACCATATATATTGTTTCTTTAGTCCCTGTATCCCTTGTCTTATATCCTCCACAATATCTGGCACAGAGTAGATCCTAAGATAGAAGTGATGTGGTATAAAGAAAAGAACTGTGGATCTGAAGTAAGGAATAACTGGGTTTCAGTCCTGGCCCTATTACTTACTAGAGATGTGTGGGTTTTGGCAAACTATTTCATATGCATATATGTGTGTATATGTGTATATATATATATTTTTTTTCCTATATACTTATATGTATATGATGTATATGTATTATATTACATATGTGTTATATATGTGTGTGTGTGTGTGTATATATATATATATATATATATATATATATACATATATATATATATACATATATAGACACAAATATACATACATTTAGTACGAAATTATTTAGTAGAATCTAAAGGTTCTCAAAGCCCAAAGAAAAAAGTAAGCAGTGTCAGCTGCAGTATTTAGGAAAGGCTTCCTAGAAGAAGTAATGCTCATTTTCACCATCTATACAATGACAGATGGTTTCGAAGTTCCCATGCAGCTCTAGATCTTTGATCCTATGACCTCAACTGGTCCCTACAGGATGAGTGGTACTTGGAGAAGAGAGGGAATGGGAGGGGAGGGGAGGAGTAAGGCTCACTGGCCAATGAAAAAGACATGAGTGAAAGTGAAGCTTCTCAACCTGTTTTTAGTATAAGGACCCCTTTTAATATCAGAAACCTTAGTGGACCCAAGGGTATGCTGGGAAATGACAATAAAAAATGGAGACACAATTTTAAATTTAACTTGCAGCATTACTATTTTCTCCATCACTTTCTTAAGCCTAAAAAAAATCAACAAAACAATAAATCAAGCCCTGATTTGTAGCACTTGCAGATTTCCTAGGTGTAAATGCTCACACCAAAAATTTAACTTTTGGCCAGCTACAGCACACCGCCACCCACATAAGAGTAGTTGTATTCTTTGTTATCCAGTGATTGGTAAGATATAACAAAAAACCAGTGTGAACTCAGGAATACTTTTAAGTAAATTTATATTTTATTCATCGCAATGGTATCTACAGTATACCAACAGTATCTATGTCCATTTGAAAACTTGCTGTTCAGTCGTCTCAGTCATGTCCCAATGCTCTGTGACCCCATTTGGGGGTTTCTTGGCAGAGATATTGGAGTAGTTTTCCATTTCTTTCTCCAGCTCATTTTACAGATGAGGAAGGTAAGGCAAACAGGGTTAAATGACTTACCCAGGGTCACACAGATACTAGTGTCTGAGGCCAGATTTTAACTCAGGAAGATAAGTCTACCTGACTCCAGGCCCAGCACTCTATCCACTGTGCCATCTACCTGCCCTATGTGAAAACTAGTAAAACATATTTGTGAAATGCCATTTATTCCGCAGAGAGGAGGGATCTTTGTTTACTGATAGATTCATGGACCCTTTTCAACAACTCCACGATCACACAGACACAGACACACACAATTATCTGTGACCCACTGGTCCGCATGAAGAGGGAACATGAAAATTTAGAATGGCCAAACTGGAAGGGGCTGCAGCTAGGTTCTCACTAACATGCAGAATTCATGCTAGAGAAGGCTAAAATTAAATGCTGGCTGACTAGAACAGATTCAGTCTAAGAAAGTTCTTGAAATCCAAAAAGAAAGGATTAGGCTTGAGGCAGTAGGCAGTAGATTCATGAGCATTTGCTTAATGTAATTTTCTGTCCATGAATCCTATTTTCACAGGAGCTTCCATTATGAGGCCCAAGCTTCATTCTGCTGGAGAAAGATAAAAAAAATTGTGTCTCCCATAACTATAATAAAATCATACTAGCAATGCAGCTAACCACATGTTTGTAGGAGGAATGGTTTTCTGATAAAAACATTAACAAGCATATCCAAAATACAGCAATGATGCTTTCTTGAATTCTATGAGAAAGTCACAAAATAAAGTAGTTAGATCTAGGGGAAAGAGAAGGAAAGTATCTTTTCAACCTCCTTTCAAGCTAGCGACACTAACCCCAACATTATTGACCTAGTTCAAACCCATCCCTGAGAAATGCACTTTGCTGCTATTGTTTCCAGAGCTGAACAGAAAAGTTCTCAGGGAATGAAATCTCCTTCCTCCTTCCTACTATGTTATTGTCTTTCAAAACAACTCTAGGGCCAATATCAGCATTTTGGGGGCCTCCCTTCCAGTGTTCCTCATGCCTCTCTGGCTGGCTGTGCAGATCAAGGGTCCAGACAGATAGACAGACAGTGTGCCCCTTCTTAGGCAGTGAGCCGTGCCAGATTCTACAACCCAAAGGTTTTCAGTACACAATGGTGTAGAAAGCAAATCACTTACCAGAGGCCAGACTCCATCCACAAAACCAATAGTGGGTTTAAAAGATATAAATACCATTGGTAAAAGTTTTGGTGTAGGGAGAAAAGGAAGGACAGAAGAAAGAACAGGGAGCACTGAATGCAGGTTTGGAAAAGAAAAAAAAAAAGAACATTCTGGTGTCAGGGCAATGTCTATGAGGCATCTGAAGTCTCTCTCTCTATATTCCCTTCCCCAGTGGCTTAAAGGCAGTGTTCCTCTTTTCCCTGGAAAAGATTATTTTATCCTTCAAAGGAATTCAGAGTAAGGCCCTAAGATTAATTATAGCAGCAGCTGTACGTAATGATTTAGCATCATTGAAAATACAGTAGCTGTTCCCTAGGATGGTGAACATAAGAGATAGTATTCCTAAGTACATTTAGGGTGATTTAGGACAGCTAGGTGGTGCAGTGGATAGAATGTTGGGCCTGAAGTCAGGAAGACTCCTCTTGGTGAGTTCAGCCTGACACTTAACTAGCTGTGTGACCTTGGGCAAGTTACTTAACCCTGTTTGCCTCAGTTTTCTCATCTGTAAAATGATCTGGAGAAGGAAATGGCAAATCACTCCAGTATCTTTGCCAAGAAAACCCCAAATGGAGTCATAGAGAATCAGACATGACTAAAAAACAACTCAACAACAAAGTGATCTTTTAATTAATTTTTAAATTCTCAGTTTTTCTGGTAAATACATATTCAGAATTGGAGAACTGGTATGGAAACTCTCCTCCCAGTTTCCCTCACCTAGTCTTCCCATACAATTTTGTGATTGTGATATCATTTGCACTGCTTTCATTGATTTATTTGTCTTTACTGTTTGGGGTTATCTACTTGGGTTTGGTTTTGTTTGCATTAAAGGTTCAGTTATATAAACAAGGAGTATCAATTAGTTATAAATTGGTTGAGCTTCCTACAGTTCACTTGACCATCTCCTTTTCCAGTCATAGATGTCTTTCATGATGTTTTTAAACCACTTCTTTCACACAGACTATCTTTGGTAATGCATTATTATGTTGTCCCTTAGGTCAACTGCAAATTAGATTCTTCAAAGATTATGGTATTGCATGATTCACAGCCACATAGCATCACTGAAAGACATAGGCCTAAACAAAGTCTGGGTTGAGTGTCTCAGTGTACCTTGGGAGGGTGTTCTCACTGGCCCTTCTCTTTCCCCTCGGTGAACCAATGCACTTGAGGGGAAGGGAAAGGGCCAGTGAGAATGTTTCCCCACAGTGAGCTGATCCACCCAGCACATACTTATGCATAGTAATACTGAGATAATATAAATGTTAAAAGTATGGAATTTGGCAGCAGGAAGCACATTGAGGTAACCGAAAACACTGTATAATTTCCCAGATTATGAATCCTTCCTTACTTGTCCCTTATCAAAATTCTACCCATCCTTCAAGGCCCAGCTTTGATCTTAACCTCCAGGAAGTCTTCCCTAACTATTCCTTGCCCCAACTCTCCTCTGACCACTAGGACCTCTGACTGTCCACACCATTCTCTTGGCATTTAACATACACTGCTTTACTGTTCCATATAAAAAAAATTAACTGAAACAAGTATCCATCTTATCTCCCCCAACTATTTAGAGACAGCTCAGCAAGCATTTACTAATTTGCTTTGAGTACAAGCCACTGGGGAGCAACAAGGTGGCATGGTGGATAGAGTGCAGGACCTGGGGTCAAGAAGACTCACCTTTGTGAGCTCAAATCTGGCCTCAGACACTTAACTGTGTGACCCAGAGTAAGTCACTTAAGCCTGTGTGCCTCAGTTCTTTATCTGTAAAATGAGCTAGAGAAAGAAATGGCAAACCACTTTAGTATCTTTGCCCAAAAAAACCCCAAATGGAGTCACAAAGAGTTGGACAGAACTGAAAAATGACTGAACAACAATAATATGTTGCATTAGGACAGATATCATATCTTATATCATTCTCTTGTGCCCTCTGTGCCTTGTACAGCCAGCACAGTAAACCCTTAATGAATACTTCTTGACTCAATGATTCAGGAGGTTTTAGAATTGAGAAGCTAAGTCCAAAGCAAAGCTACAAATGTCTGGAAAGCAGATGCTTCTCACAAAGGCTAAACTTAGGGCTATAGCCTGGGAAGTCTAGAGACAGAACACTTTGTGGGCAAGATCTTGGGAAAGCACAAAATCAAAGTTCAAGTGACTATAAGACACCAGCAAATAAGAGGTGAAGCAATCTGATTCTTCAGGGGCCAAAAGAGCTAAAAGAAACTTCTGGTTTGAGCAAAGAAGTGGACCTGAAAATGTCCCCTACCTGAGTCCTACCTAAGACTCTATTTTGGCGGAGACATTCTGATGCAGTGTTACCTGATTGGGTAATTGTAGTATATGCAAGAAGATGGGGGAGGGGAAGAGAGATATAGGTTTTAGGGAAAGGATCAATCACCCAATCAGAAAACTTTTCAATTAACAAGCACTTACTATGTGACAAGTACTTTACTAGGTGCTGGGGATAAAAAGATAATAAAATAGCTCCTGCCCTCAAGGAGCTTACATTCTATCAAGTCAGATTATAATGCAGGCAGTGAGCAGAATCAAAGATATGATCCATAGAATGTTGAATGAGAAAAAGAAGTGAGAGCTTAATATGGCAAAATCAAAGGATGACAGAATTCCCATATGCTACAGTGGTATCTAAGACAGCTAAAGGACCCAGAGAAAAAACTCTAATGCAATTAGGTAATTTGTGAGAGATCACAGACAAGTGTCACATAGGATAGAAAAGCACGAATGGGTAGTGATTTTCACTGGTGGAGGGAGTATTCATGCCTATGAGATGATAGATCCATTGATGTATCAAAGAAAGTGGGAAAACTGGAGGGAGAACCTTTGGTTTAGAGGCTATATATAGGAGGCTACTTACCGATAGGTAGTACTTATAAAGCATTCTAGGACATGTGTTGAAGGTCAAGTCACTTAAATTCCTTTTGCCTCAATTTACTCATCTATGAAATGGAGTTGGACAGATGGCTTCTGAGGTCCCTTCCAATTCTAGATCTATAAGCCTATGAGTCATTGTGCCATCACCTCTAAGGTACCTCTATCTGTTCTGTATTTACCTGTTCTATATGTACTTATGTATAAGTTGTCTCCCCCACTGCTATATAAGCTCCTTGAAGGCAGGCATTGATTTTGTTGTTGTTTTTTCTTTATGTCCTCAGTGGTTTAGAACAGTGCCTGACACATAGCAAGTGCTTAAATAAATGCTTGGAGATTTACTGATTACACAGAATTCCTGTGCCAATGTACACCTGCTGCATTTGTTTTGTACATAGTCATATCTGGCACATGATGTCACCACCAAAAGAATGTAAGCTCCCAAGGTCAGGGACTTTCTGTTTTTGTCTTTAAATCTCCAATGTCTAGTTACAGGGGTGGGGAACTTGCAGTCTCAAGGCCACATGTGGCTCTCAAGGGTGTGGCCCTTTGACTCAATACAAACTTCACAGAACAAATCCCCTTAATAAAAAGATTTGTTCTGTAAAACTTGGACTCAGTCAAAAGGCCACACCCAAGAACCTAGAAGGCCACATGTGGCCTCTGAGGCCACAGATTCCTCACCTCTGGTCTAGTACAATGCTTAGCACATAGTAAGTGCTTAATTGATGCTTGTCAATTAACTGATAGCTGCATGATCTTGAGCAAATCATTTTACCTCTTGAAAACTCAGTTTCCTCAGCTGAGAAATGGGGATAATACTGATTCTATCTAGATTAACTAGATGCTATGATAATCAAATGAGATGGTGTATATGAGATACTGTATGTCACTACAACTGCAATCTTAATATTGGAGGGTCTTTTAATAAAGTCTTGCATGGAGAAACCATTTCCCACCTCCACCCCTCTACAAATAAAATGAAATAAAACACACAAGTTGGATGTGACTTTGCATAGAGTTTTCCATAGGATTTCACTTTACTACCATGGAGGTGGTGAGAAATAATTTAAAACATACAAAAAGTGCATCTGGATATCTTTTTTTTACAGACCGTAAAAACTATACACTTTATACCACAAGCCTAAGTAAGAGAGCCATCCAAAATAATGATTTTAATACTCCCCATATCCTCGGTATTAGTCATTTCAAGTGAACAGTTCAAATATCAGAAACTCACTTTTACTTTTCCCATCAGACAAGAATAGCTTAGATAATTACCAAACAGCTGATTCAGTACCCTCGATAAGAACATCTGGGGTTTTTAGAAATCATGTGGCTCCACAATCCCTTTAAAGCTGGGAGGTCTGTGGACTTATAACTGGCAATTTTTCTCCTTACCAGTGGTCTTCTCAAAGTACTGGTACCATAGGATTATTTTAATAATAATAATAATAATAAACTCCAGCTTTGTTTAATTCTGGAAACCCCAAGAACTTGGTTAGCTAGTAAAAGAGAAAGGAATGATACACAGTGGGCCTGGGCACGCCTTTCAAATGTTTGCCTGGACTTTATGTACAATAACCCTTTAACAGTATTGGCCTCAGAAGTCCAAAAAGTGGAAGCTAATAAATGAATGCCATTTCTCATGAGATTCATAATGTAGCAAGGTGGAACAATGAAGAAGAGTGTTAGACTTGGTGTCAGAAAGACCTGAATTCAAATTCCAGCTCAGACACCTACGACCTGTGCGGGCCCATGCAGATCACTTAATTTTGCTCAGCCTCAGTTTCCTTCTCTGTAAAATGGTAATAATAGTTGTCCCTACTTCATAGGAGGATCAGATAAGATATTGAAGCATTTTGCAAATCTTAAATGGGGAGAGGGAGGGAGGGAAGGAGAGAGAGAGAGAGAGAGAGAGAGAGAGAGAGAGAGAGAGAGAGAGAGAGAGAGAGAGAGACAGACTAGCTAATATCATTATTACACAACTCTTATCTATTCTTTTTGTGAAGACTCAATAGTCCAGCCAGACTGACCTTCTTTGCACGAATGACAATCCATCTCTCATTCATAGTTGTAGCTTTACACAGGCTAGCCCACATGCACAGAATGCATTCCCTCCTCACCTCTGCCTCTTAGATTTCCAAGCTTCCTTCAGTTCTCAGAACTCATAAGGCCTGGGTTAGAAAAACAGAGCAGGTCAAAGTTCCATACAGATCAGCACTGGGATTGGGCCACTTCACCTGCAGCTGGGAGAGACCTATTCTCTAGAAAAAAGAGAGAAAACTACCTGAATATTCAGGCAGGCATGAATGATAGGTAAATCACATAAAAACAAACTAGCTGATCATCTGGCAATTGCGTATGTCTCAGTATGGCCCTTGGGAGAAAACCTTTGCAGAATTCACAACAATTTGCAAATGCAGTGACTAATGGAAACCGTATAGAGGTATAGACTGAGTAGAAGTGGAAATGGGGCATTCCCTGAAGCGCTATGATATGTTAATTTCTCTCCCTTGCCCTATTCAGTTCAGCTGAGTCTGGTCTGCTAATTTTCCTAGTGCAATTTGTTTATCTCTTCTTTGTCTCATCAGACTCTACTTACCAGCGTACAAGTAGTATCAACAGTAAGAGAACAATTTGTACGACAGCATGAGGTTGGAGGGAAGAAAATGACTTGGAAAGATCATCAAGGCAATGACCAACCATGATCCCAAAGGACTCATGGGTGAATTAATGCTACTCACTTTCTGACTGAGAAATGAGGGACTCAGAACGCAGAATTGAGACATATATTTTTGAAGTTGGTTAGTGTGAGAATTTGGTTTGCTTGATTATGCTTATTTGTTAATAGAGCTGTTTTTCTTTTCTTTTTCCATCCAGTGGCAAAGAGAAAATAAATGCTTACTAATTAAAAATATACCCGTGTGTCTCAAAATTTTTTAAAATGAATGTCCAAATAATTTTGTCTGCATGGAACTGGGGGAAAAAAGAAAAAATTAAATGTAAAAAAGAAAGAAAAGATATCTGTGTATATATATGTATAAATATGTATTAGATACACACACACACATATATATGTATAAATATATATATATATATATAATTTTTAAAACCACTAATAGAAAAAAAAGCTCCTTGAGGAAAGGAATTATACCCTTTTCCCCTCTGTATTCCCCAGTATCTAGCACAATGCCTAACACAGACTAGGCACCACGTAAAGGTTTGCTGAATTGAACCAGAACCTTGTACACAACCTGTCTTAGTAATCAACCTTTCCCAGTAGGCACAATTTTAGGATGTAATTCAACCCACCCCCTCTTTTCTTTTTTTGAACTGTATTCATCTTTAATTGGATTGTTGTTTCACATGTTTTCTGAGAAGTTTTTCATTCTGTACATCATCCAAAGGCTGAGTAAGTTGGTGGGGAAGAGACAGGGAGAAAATTATTAATCAGATAAAAATAAACTGAGACCGAACACATCTTATTCTCAAGGCATCTGAGTGTGACTTATCTAGTAAGGAGTTAAATGCTTGCTGTATATTTACCTTGCAGGCAGACAGAACTGGCTTTATGTCTCAAGCAAATGCTCAGCTAGTTGCCAACGTTCAGACCTATTTGTTTTATTGAGAAGGGAATCATTGGCTGGAACACGAGAGCTCCCCATTACTCTTTGTGAGAAAAGCAAGGGGAATTTTGATTTCTTTCTGGAGAGCTACCAAAGATGATCGGTAGGAACACTCACTTGCTTGATAATCTCCATCTGAAGGGTGGCAATGAGAGAGAATATCTGACAGTCTTCCCAGGCCTGTATGCTAAGGTGTCACCATGGCACACTCAGGGTCCAAGTCCAATCTCATTAAAGCCCTAGTGGAAGGCTGAGAGCTAGTCAGCTCTACAGACTGAAACCAATTAAACAATCAACTGACCTGAGCTGAAGCCCTAAATGAAATTCAAGAGCTTGGAGTCTGATAAGCCTACGTTGAAACGTGGCATAGAAGAAGGGAAAGCAAGCTTCACAGGTTCTGTTTTGAGTTCTGACAGAGTCACTATGCAATCTTGAGAGAGAACATACTCTTTCTCTGTATACACTAATCCGGAGGTAAGCAGAAATTTCCCTATAGGGTGGCTCTATAGGTCAGAAGGCCTTCCATCAGAAGTGATAAGAAACAGACCATCATCAAAATTCAAGGAAATAAAATAAACCATTATCTTGCAAAAAAAAAAACTTCCCCTTCTTTCTCTTTCTCCCTAATGCCATTATTGTGGACTTGGGTAGTCCTGAATGGAAGGGATGGAAGGCTGAAAGGCCAACGGGGATCTTCTAAGGAAGCAGCCTGGAAGTACCTTCTCTGATGGTTAAGGTTGGAGGCAGGGGTGGAGGAGAAAAGTAAATTTCTTAGTCAGATAAATGAAAAGAAATTGAAACAATACATCTTATTCTCATGTTTAGAAGAGGAATAGAGTTAGGAAGAAATATAATGAGTTTTGTTTTGAACATGTTGAGTTTGAAATACCTTTGAAACATCCAGGTGCAGATGTCCATCAAGTAATTGTTGATGCAGACAGAGAGGAACAAAGGAAGAGAGAAGAAAAGGGGAGGGGAAGGAAGAGAAAGGGATAGAGAAGAAGGGTGAGGGGAGGAGGAAAAAGGACAAGACAGAATCTAGGAGAGTGCCTATATTTAGTAAATAGGATTCAGCAACTGCAGTTGAGAATACTATCACAGAGCCACAGATAGTGGGAAGTGACTTCTGTAAAGGAACAGACACCTTAATAGTAATAGTGATATTGAAAGGGGAGGAAGGACTATGATAATGACAAGCTATCTACTTTGTGGTACTGTAGAAAGAGCTCTAGCCCTGAAGTTAGGGGGCCTGGATTCAAATCCTGTCTGTGGCATTTCCTGTATGACCTTCAGCAAATCACTTAACTTTCTTGGGACTTGGTTTCCTCATTTGTAAAATGGACTGAGATGCCTTCCAGCCTTAGATATTATACTAAAATGAAATTGTGTCCTGAACCTTGTTCTACATCAGCAATTTTCAAAGTGTAGTCTGAAGATTACTGGGTATCCTTGAAACCCTCTCAGAGAATGTTTGAGGTTAAAACTACTTTTGTAGTAACACCAAACATTATTTACCTATTAAAATATTCTTCTGGGGCAGCTAGGTGGTGCAGTAGATAGGAGTACCAGCCCTGGAGTCAGGAGGACCGGAGTTCAAATCCACTTCACACTTACTAGCTGTGTGACCCTGGGCAAGTCATTTAACCCCGAATGCCTCACCAAAAAGCAAAAAAAAAAAATTCCTCCCTTTTCAAACTACATATCTGCCTGAGACTAGATTTTCTTCAAATAGTTCAACCAAATAATAACAACAACATCATCATCAAAATAATAACTAAAATTTTATAGCAATTACTAGGTGCCAGGCACTATGCTAAGTGCTTTATAAATTCTCATTTTATCCTCAATATTAATCTATATCAAAATAGATTGAAAGTAGAAACAAATATAAGAATCCAGCTGTCTTCTAAGCTAGACATTAAAGAGATTTATCTCTCCCCTCAAAAAATGTAAAATAATACCACTCTTCTCACTAAATTGTTTTTTGTTTTGGAAAATATAGTTGCTTTTTATTTTTAAAATATGCTATTTATATTAACATGTAATGGGTTTATTACTGTTGTCTTAAATGAATAGATTTTTAAGAAATTTTTATCAGCTTTAATTTCCAATTCAGTAAATATCAGTAGATATAAACATAAGTTCTTTGGTGCCCTCAATGATTTTTCAGAATGTCAAGGGGTCATCCAGAAAAAGAACTGATAAATAGGAGTATATATAGAATGGTTTCACATAAATATATATATATATATATATATATATATATGTATATATGTATATATATATACATATATATACATACATACACACACACACACACACATACATATCTGTGTCTAATGATAGCCATCTCTAGGGCAGGGGAGGGGGAAGGAGAGGGAAGAAAAAAAAGTTAAAAAAAAAAAAGAAAGTTATAAGATAACTTTATTATGTGCTTAAGAGGAATAGCAAGTTGTACATAGTAGATCTGCAGTTGCATGTGCAATCATCTTTTTTTTTCTATTCTACAATGTAATGGAAGTGCTTGCTTTATTTCTTAAGTTCAGAATAAAATAAATAAAATTAAAAATTAAAACAAAGAATGTCAAGGGGTCCTGAGGCCAAAGGCTTTGAGAACTGCTGCTCTGACTCTGTCTCATTGCTCTCAGTTGTCTCCTTGGAGCTTTTATCTTTCTGTTGACAGAGGCTGGCACAGTGCCACCACTAGGAACTGGAAAGATTGTGGATATGGAAGAGGGTCAGAAGAGCATGGAAGAAAGGGGAATTTGTTTTTGTTTGATTCTGTCCTTAGCTACATTAGCCTTGTTTTTCCTTAAAACAGAGACCCTAAAGAAGTAACAAGAACAAAGCAGATCCAATAACCTTTTAGACTTAATGGTCATAACTGTGGCTGCATTCACCCATTTGGGTTGTATATCTTTGTTTTAAGTCCAGACATACACCGGTATTTGTGTGCAGACCTCCCAATGAGGAAACTCCTCTACTCATTAGCTGAGCACCTGCTCGACAATTTAGACAAGTCTTAGTGTGGTTTTAAACTATAAAACAAACAAAAACAAAACTCCTTTAAACTGCACTAGGATTTTTTGAGGGGAAACCTTGTGTATACGTGTGTGTGTGTGTGTGTGTGTGTGTGTGTGTGTGTACAGAGAGAGAGAGATGTGTGTGTACACATATGTGTATGTTTATATGTACATATGTATACATGTGGTGTGTACTCATTGACGCTGAGCTGTGTCCAAGGTCCCATGTACAAACATAGAAAAAATTTAAAAGAAAAGAAAGAGAGCATTATGCGAATGAGTAAAAAGGAATGAGGTGAAGTAGCACCTAGGATTAAGGAAAGAAATGATCAAATAAGAGTGAGAAAATGGCAAGAAAAAGAACACGAACGTCTCTCTTTGTTAGTGCTGGTATTGGTCTTTGAATCAGGAAGACCTGAATTCAAACGCCACCTCAGATAACTTCCTAGCAGCAGGACCCGGGGCAAGATACTTAATTTCTCTCAGATTCAGTTTCCTTATCTGTAAAATGGGGATAATAATAGCATCTGCCTCACAGGGTTGTTGTAAAGATCAAATGAGATAATATATGTAAAATGTTCTGACAATTTTCAAACATTATATAAATATTAGCTGTTATTTGTTATTATTTTTCTATCACCTATATACCTTGCCTACCTTACATATAAAGGGCATTTATGAGATATTGAATGAATGAATGGTTTTGTGAGCAGAAGAGAATGATTGAATTGGTGAGAAAAAGGGGGTAAGAAGAAACAAGGGGGGAGGATAGTCAGCAAAGCAACCTCCCTAAGCTAGTTTATTAGATAGAATGTACACCAGGTGAGCAAGAACAATAGTGTATGGTCTTCTCCTTATAGATCTTACTCCTTTCACCTCTATTTCACCCAGAATCTGCATGTTATGTGAGCAGGGTGGTAGCACAAAAACCTATACAAAATCTATGGAAAAAAAGACACCTTTACCCTCATTTCCTTGTTCACTGTCTTTCCAACCGCCCCCATTTGTTTCACTGTTTCCTTGTTCACTGTCTTTCCGACTACCCCCATTTGTGATGAAATCCCAGGAGCAGCCAGGGCAGGAATCTCCCTGTCTCCCATCTCTGAGCTCCTCAGGTGAAAGCCTAAGAACACAGCCTTACTCTTTAGGTCTCTTCCCGTATCCCTCCTTAACAACTGCCTCATACACGTCTCCTCAGCCAGCTGTGGAGAGTACAAGAAACTAGTTTTCTAGAATGTGAGGAATCTCAGAATACAAACTCCAGACAAGCTGGCAAATGACATGTAAACAGTGCGGTTGAGTCCTGCCCCTACCTGGTCCAGGTTACCCCTTGCAGGGCCTCTGAAAAGTCTGGTTTCTCTTCTTAGTTCCACCCGGCTTCTACCCTACCCCACCCCCACTCCCCTAGAAATATTTCCCTTGGCACCCCTGATCCTTGAGAAAACAAAACCTTTCTGCTGGTTCTTCAGGCACAACACACAGCAAGCCAAACTACAGCTCCAAGCAGCAACCTAATAGCCCAAAGTGGGGGCTCTGCTTTTCCGTGGACCTCGAGTCCAGAAATGGTTCTCTTTGCTTCCAGATTGATCTCTTCTGGTCCCACCTAAGTCGCCGCTGACTTAAGACCTGGCTTTCTGTCTCACCCACCCAAGTCATCCCTGGTTTTCTGCTTCACACTGCTCCATTAACCCAGTCATCTTTTCCCTGGGGGTCACTCTTTCCTCCACATTCTCTTGCCTGACCCATAACATTTCTAAATACAATTACCTCTAACACAGGCAAGAAGACTTTTTTTTCCTACAAAAAGGGGCAGAAACTTTTATATATATAATAGTTTATATTACATAAGATGTAATATGTATACTGTATAATAATATATTAATATATAATGTTATATATACACACATATATGCACATGTATATAGTATATGTGTGTATGTATGTATATGTGTATGTATGTATATAACTGCATATGCATGTATGGATATAGATAGATATAGATATAGATATAGATATAGATGATATAGATATAGATATAGATATAGATATAGATATAGATATAGATATAGATATAGATATAGATATAGATATAGATATAGATATAGATATAGATATAGATATAGATATAGATATGATAGAGGCATATGTCTTGACCCACTACCACCAGCAAACAACAGCAAAGCAACAGCTCCTATTTGTTCATGCACAGTTGGGTCCATACTCAACTTTCCCTTGACCCTCTTCCTGATTAGCATACATGACCCACTCCAGACAGTGAGCCTAATAGGAATGGTATTTTGACCCGTCTGGTAAACCACAGAAAATACACTTAATAACATCTATTCTACCCAGTGCTGAATGAAACCGTTCTTAGGAACTCAATTAGGTTTATTGGTTTGGTGGGAGAAAGAGAGGAGAAACATTTTCTTTTTCAGGCTGTGAAAGGATGTAATAAGTACATTACTACTGTGTGGTATAGTGACTAAAGTACCTAGATTAGGAGAAAAGATGACAGACACTCAAATCCTGCCCCACCTCCACCTTTATTTATTAGCTTTGTTACCCTGAGCAAGTCATTTCACTTTTCATGGTTCCTGCTTTATCTTCTGTAAAATGAGGATAATTGTATCTGGAATGCCTACTTTCCTTAAATGAAGGGTAAATGGTGACAACTAGGTGGCACAATGGATAAAACACTGACCCTGGAGTCAGGAGAACCTGAGTTCAAATCTGGCCTCAGACACATCCTAGCTGTGTGACTCTGGACAAGTCATTTAATCTCAATAGCAACAAAAATGAAGTTTAAATGACACAACGTATGTGAACTTTGTTAAGAAACCATCAAGTATCACACGAGGTAAGCCTAGCAGCTGAAAACTGTCCTAAGAGGTATGCTTTAATAGCTTAAAACTGTCCCAAGACCCTGGGGACATCCTATGTAAACATCAGTTATAAGAATTTATTAAGCGCTTGTCATGTTCCAAACACTGTGCTAGATACTGGGGATGCAAAGATAGGAAATAGTCCCTGCCCTCATGGAGCTTACACTCTACAGGTGCAGACAACATGGACATATATAAGTATAGGCAAAATAAATATAAGTTCATTTTGCTGAGAGACACTGAGAGCTAGAGGAACCAGGAAAGGTTTTCTGAAGGAACTGACCCTTGAGCTAAGTTCTAAAGAAAACTAGGATTTCTGAGATGCAGACGTGATGAAGAAATGTATTCTGGGTGTGGAGAATGGAAATAGAATATCATGAGTGAGAAGCCCAAGAAGGACAGTCTGATAGGATTGGAGAACGCTTGAAGAGGAGTAATATAAAATTGCTATTAATTCAGAAAAAGACAAATTTAAATTAAATTTTAGAAATTAAACTAAGAAAAAGAGCTGAGAGAGGGGGCAGGCAGTCCAGCAAAACCAGATTTGATTTTATTACATATTTTAATTGCTTATATTAATTCTGAGCCAAGAGTAAAGTACTATATACTGCAGTAATTAAGTAAAATGAGAGAAACAAAGTAAAAATGCTTTACATACATATAGTAGGTACTTCATAAATGTTGTGAATTGAAAATTACATCTTAATGAGTAAATTACATATTCAGTGGCCTCAAAAAGGAGTAAGTGTGTTTCCTTGTCATGGGACTGCCTCACAGTCAAATTCACTTGATAATGAGATCCTTTGGGAATTGCAGTAATTAAAACTCCCTGGCTGAGATCCAAAACAATGACCTGCCTTATACCAAATTCCTTAAGACTGTTACAGCAAGGTGTCAATATATCTGTAAAATATGCCCTGCTAACTCAGCAATATACAGTTCATTGGCACCCAAATCTCTATTTCTGTATTTTGATTAATTGATTAAAATTAATTTAATTAGTTTTAAATTCAATTAATTTAAGCTGTTCTTTTCCAGGAGAAAGAACCCAAATATCATAACATCACATAAGTCCCTTATTGCCTTTAAGGTTGAGTAGGGTCAGTGTGGCATAATGGATGAAATGTTTGATTTGGAGTTTGAAGAACTGAGTTTGAATCCTGATTCTGGATGTATGAAGATGGGCAATTCGGCTGAGTCTCTTAGCCTTATTGATAAATTGATAAAATGAGACTAATAATACCTGGTATATGGACCTCATGGAGTTTTTCTGAGGTCTAAAAGTAATACATATATTCAGAGAATTTCAGAATTAGAAAAGACCTCAGAGGCCATCCAGCCTAACTTGTCCCTGTACAAGAATCCCTTCTACAATATACTCAGCAAATGGGGACAGCTAGGTGGCACAAGTAGAAGGAGCACCAGTGCTGAGGTCAGAAGGACCTGAGTTCAAATCCAGCCTTAGACACTTCCTAGCTGTGTGATCCTGGACAAGTCACTCCTGATGGAAGGAAGGAAGGAAGGAAGGAAGGAAGGAAGGAAGGAAGGAAGGAAGGAAGGAAGGAAGGAAGGAAGGAAGGAAGGAAGGAAGGAAGGAAGGAAGGAAGGAAGGAAGGAAGGAAAGGAAGGAAGGAAGGAAGGAAAGGAAGGAAGGAAGGAAGGAAGGAAGGAAGGAAGGAAGGAAGGAAGGAAGGAAGGAAGGAAGGAAGGAAGGAAGGAAGGAAGGAAGGAAGGAAGGAAGGAAGGAAGGAAACTTAAAAAAAATATCAACAAATGGTAAAGTAACTAACTTTGCTTGAAGATCTCCAGGGAAAATGAACAGAAAACTCTATCTCCTGAGGCATCACAGTCTACTTAGAAATTTCTCCAATTGCTAATAAGTTCTTCCTGACATTAAGCCTGCATTTGCCACTTTGAAACTTCTATGTACTGCTCCTTATTCTGGGTTCTGGGGCCCAGGACAACAAGTTGAATTCTTCTTTCATGTGACAACCTTTGAAATACTTGAGGACAGTATATGAAGTGCTTTGCAAACTTTAGTGCACCATATAAATGTCAGCTTTTATTATTACTAAGGTGCCATCCCCTCTATGCTATCCTCTGACCCCTCTTCTTTTCTCCCCTTGCCCAAATGAAATCCTCCCTCCTCAGATTTCTCCCAGTACTTTGCTTGGCCCTTTTCATCAGCTCAGATCTCTCACATCCGGGTTGTTTGTGCATAGACCTTTTCTCCCTTATTAGGTCATAAGTACTTTGGGAGCAGGATCTGTGGCACATTTGTCTTTATACCCCCAGCAACTAACATAGTTTCTTGAACATGGTGGATCATTAGTTAAAAGATTATTGAATTGAATTGTGCTAAGCTAACAACATGATGACAAAAACTTTCACTGGGTAAATTTCTCTAATAAAGGCCTAATATCCAAGATATATAAGGAACTAATTCAAATTTATAACACTATGAATCATTCCCCAATTAATAAATGATTAAAGGATACAAAGAGACAGTTTTCAAATGGAAGAAATCCAAGATTATCAACAATTCCATCCAAAATACTCCAAATCACTAATAGAGAAATGCATATTAAAACACTCTGAGATTCAACCTCATATCCATTAGATTAGCAAAGATAAAAAGACCTTCCCACTTCCCTCAGCCTCTTCTCCTCTCTGATTGGAGGGCTGGGGAGGGGTGTGTACTTATTCCACCCAAAGCTTTCCTTAATAGAGGTCAGAACCTGGACCTTGTAGCTCACTCCACTTTCCATCTGCAGCTCTGACTGGTTTCAAATCCACAGAACAAGATGCCCTCCCCCACCCCAGCCAAGCACCCCATGGTTTCCCCACTCCCCTTCCAGCTTCTTTTCATGTGTTACCTTCTCCATCCAATTGTAAGCTTTTTGAAGGTAGGGATTGTCTTTCTTTTTCTTATTTGTATTGCCAATGCTTAGCACTATGTCTGACATACAGAAGCCCCTTAATAAAAGTTTATTGAACTGAACTGAACAAAAAAAGGAAAATGATAGTTGTTGAAGGGGCTGAAGAAAGACATACATTACAGGTTTACTGTTGATGGCATTATAAATTGATCCAGTCATTCTAGAAAGCTCTTTAAAACTATACCCCAAAAGTCATTAATCTGTTCATATGCTTGTCCAAACTATATCACTACTAGCTTCATATTCTAGAGATTAAAAAGAAAAAAGATCCATATGTATGCAAATATCTATTACAGGTCTTTTGTTATAGTAAAGAACTGGAAGTGGTGGTGACAGTCAGTTGAGGAATATCTAAAATTATGGTTCATGAATGTAATGAGCTATAAGAAATTATCAGAAAGACAGTTTCAGAAAAACTCAAGACTTGTATACGCTGATACAGAGTGAAGTGAGCAAAAGCAGAACAATTTATACAGTTATAACAACATTGTAAAGAAAAAGAATGTGTATCCTTTGACCCAAAGACCGCATTGCTTGGCAAAAA